CATAGTGTTCATTTCTACGTATTTGGTGATATTGGTATCTGCTAGCTTGATCAATTATGAGGGAGATACTTTGAAGTCTTCAACTATAATTAGAGATTTGTTTCTTGTTTTCTGTCAATTCTTCATGTATTTTGAACTTGTGTCATGCATAGTGAATGTTAGGATTGTTACATTTTTAAAAAAATATATATTTTATTGATTTTATACAGAGAGGAAGGGAAAGAGATAGAGAGTTAGAAACATCCATGAGAGAGTGTCATCGATCAGCTACCTCTTGCACACCCCCTACTGGGGATATGCCCGCAACCAAGGTACATGCCCTTGACCGGAATCGAACCTGGGACCCTTCAGTCCCCAAGCTGACGCTCTATCCATTGAACCAAACTGGTCCCGGCATGATTGTTACATTTTCTTGGTGAATTCACCCTTTTTTCATTATATAGCGTATCCCAAAAAATGTGTACACATTTTGAATAATTATTCCAGTTGGTTAAATCTGAAAAGAAAGAAACATCAACTGAACTATCAAAAAATGTATGTGTTTTGTCTGGGGACAAAAAAGTGTTAATGTTCCTTTGTATTTTTTTTTTCTGTTCTTCCCCCCCCCCTTTATTTGAATTATTAAATTATTATCTGTGTACATATTTTAACATTGGCCCCCCCCCCCATACATACCCTCCATCCCCAGAGTTTTGTGTCCATTGGTTGTACTTATATGCATGTATACAAGTCCTTCGGTTGATTTCTTATCTCCCCCAGATCTCCCTACTCTCCCCGCTGTAATTTTACAGTCTGCTTGTTGCTTTACTGTCTTTATATCTATCTTTTGGTTTGTCAGTTTATAATGTCTTTTAATATCCATAAATGAGTGAGGCCATGTGGTATTTCTCTTTCATTGACTGGCTTATTTCACTCAGCATGATGTTCTCTAGTTCTATCCAGGTTGCTGCAAATGATGAGAATTCCTTCTTTTTTTTTTTTTTTTTTAAATATATTTTATTGATTTTGTACAGAGAGGAAGAGAGAGAGATAGAGAGTCAGAAACGTCGATGAGAGAGAAACATCAACCAGCCGCCTCTTGCACACCCCCCACTGGGGATATGCCCCCAACCAAGGTACATGCCCTTGACCGGAATCGAACCCGGGTCCCCTCAGTCCCCAAGCCGACGCTCTATCCACTGAGCCAAACCGGTCTCGGCTAGAATTCCTTCATTTTTATGTCCACATAGTATTCCATTGTGTAGACGTACCATAGTTTTTGGATCCAATCATCTGCTGACGGGCACGTAGGCTGTTTCCAGATTCTAGCTATTGTAGATTGTGCTGCTATGAACATAGGGGTGCATATATCCTTTCTGATTGGTGTTTCTGGTTTCTTGGGATATATTCCTAGAAGTGGGATTACTGGGTCAAATGGGAGTTCCATTTTCAGTTTTTTGAGGAAACTCCACACTGTTCTCCACAGTGGTTGCACCAGTCTGCATTCCCACCAGCAGTGCACGAGGGTTCCTTTTTCTCCACAACCTCGCCAACACTTGTCGTTTGTTGATTTGTTGATGTTGGCCATTCTGACAGATGTGAGATGGTACTGCATTGTTGTTTTGATTTGCATCTCTCGGATAATTAGTGACTGAGCATGTTTTCATGTGCCTTTTGGCCTTCCTTCTGTCTTTTTTTGAAAATATTCTATTTAGGTCCATTGCCTATTTTTTAATTGGATCATTCATCTTCCTTTTATTTAGTTGTATAAGCTGTTTGTAGATGTTGGAGATTAAACCTTTATCAGTGGTAACATTTGCAAATATGTTCTCGCACACAGTGGGCTTTCTTGTTGTTTTGTTGATGGTTTCTTTTGCTGTAAAAAAGCTTTTTATTTTGATGTAGTCCCATTTGTTTATCTTCTCTTTAGCTTCCATTACCCTAGGGGCAATATCAGTGAAGAAGTTCTTTTGGCATATGTCTGAGATTTTGTTGCCTGTGGTTGCTTCTAGTATTTTTATGGTTTCCCGTCTGATGGTTAAGTCCTGTATCCATTTTGAGTTTGTTTTTGTGTATGGTGTAAGTTGGTGATCTAGTTTCATTCTTTTGCATGTATCTGTCCAATTTTCCCAACACCATTTATTGAAGAGACTGTCTTGACTCCATTGTATATTCGTGCCTCCTTTGTCAAATATTAATTGAGCATAGTGATTTGGGTTGATACAGTGGTGCCTCACACAACGAACTTAATTCGTTCCAGGAACAAGTTTGTTATGCGAAAAGTTCGTTATGTGAAACGCGTTTTCCCATAACAATACATGTTAAAAAAAATAATTCGTTCTGTAGCATAAAATATGCTAAGATGACATAAAAAAAAGATAAATTTTTTGTTATTAATTTAGATACATCTAAAAACATAATTTTTTTAAAAAAAAACACATTTTTTTAATTTTAAGACAGACTAAGTAGAGTCTACCGAATCTTGCACATCTTCATCCATTTTCTGCTTTTTGGCCGATGGTTTCATGAAAAACCTGTCCAAAGTCGTTTGTTTTTCTCTTTTCTCCAACATCTGCCGGAAATAACGGACAAGAGTATCGGAGTAAAGATCGTTGATCCTGTTTGCTTCAGCTGAATCCGGATAGTGGGCATTGGTAAACTCCTGAACTGCTTTCCATTTGACCAGGATGTTCTTGTTGTCAGCAGTTGGGATTGGTTGATTGTTTGATTGTTGCTCCTCGTTATCAGATGACGCTTCCCTTTGAGCATTGTCCTGTTTCATTTCAACAGAAATCACCTTCCTGCTTTTTTTAGAAGCTATGATATAAAAAAAATATTGAGTTTAACTTAAAAGGACGACTGCCGTGATACGTGCGTGATTTAATTCGTAATGAAGAACGATTGCCGCGATACGTGCTTAAGTTAAGCGCAGTGACTAACGACTGCCTGCAGTGCCTGCGCGGAAGGATGCAATACATCGGCAGCGATCGTGGAAGCTCGGGCGAAGCAGTCGTGGAAGCTCGGGCAAAGCGGTTGTGGAAGCTCGGGCGACTTCGTTGTGTGAAACGAAGTTCGTTGTATGAATCATGAAGTTCGTTGTGTGCAGCGCTCGCTGTGCGAGGCGTTCTTTATGCGAGGCACCACTGTATCTGGGTTCTCGATTCGATTCCATCGATCTATATGTCTGTTCTTGTGCCAGTACCAGGCTGTTTTGAGAACAGTGGCTTTGTAATACAGTTTGAAGTCTGGTATTGAGATCCCTCCTACTTTACTCTTTCTCAGGATTGCTGTGGCTATTCGGGGTCTTTTATTGTTCCAAATGAACTTTTGGAGAGTTCTTTCTAGGTCAGTGAAATATGCCGTTGGTATTTTAATGGGGAGTTCATTGAACCTATAGATTGCTTTAGGAAGTATGGACATTTTGATGATGTTGATTCTACCAATCCATGAACATGGTATGTTCTTCCATCTGTTTACATCTTCCTCTATCTCTTTTTTTCAGTGTCGTGTAGTTTTCTGCGTATAGGTCCTTTACTTCCTTAGTTAAGTTTATTCCTAGGTATCTTAATTTTTTTGGTGCGATGGTAAATGGAATTGCGTTTTTAGTCTCTGTTTCTATAAATTCACTGTTGGTGTATAGAAATGCCATAGATTTCTTGGCGTTAATTTTGTATCCTGCTACATTGCCAAATTCATTTATTAAGCCAATTAGTTTTTTAATGGAGTCTTTTGGTTTTTTTATATACAATATCATGTCGTCTGCAAATAAGGATAACTTTACTTCTTCTTTTCCAATTTGGATGCCTTTTATTTCCTCCTCTTGTCTAATTGCAATGGCTAGTACTTCCAGTACTATATCAAAGAGGAGTGGCGAGAGTGGGCATCCCTGTCTTGTTCCTGTTCTTAGAGGGAATGGTTTTAGTTTTTGCCCATTGAGTATGATGTTGGCTGTGGGTTTATCATATATAGCTTTTATTATATTGAGGTATGATCCTTGTACTCCCACCTTGATGAGAGTTTTTATCAGGAAAGGGTGTTGGATTTTATCAAATGCTTTTTCTGAATCAATTGATATGACTATATGATTTTTATCTTTCAACTTGTTTATGTGATGTATCACGTTTATTGATTTGCGGATATTGTACCAACCTTGCATTCCTGGAATAAATCCTACTTGGTCATGGTGTATGATCTTTGTGATGCTCTGCTGGAGCCGATTTGCTAGAATTTTGTTGAGGATTTTGGCATCTCTGTTCATGAGGGATATTGGCCTGTAGTTCTCCTTAATTGAGTTGTCTTTATCTGGTTTTGGTATTAGGGTGATGCTGGCTTCATAGAAGGAGTTTGGAAGTGTTCCTTCCTCTTGAATTTTTTGGAATAGTCTGAGGAGGATAGGTTTTAGTTCTTCCTTGAATGTTTGGTAAAACTCTCCTGTGAAGCCATCTGGCCCTGGGCTTTTGTTTGCTGGAAGCTTTTTGATGATTGTTTCAATTTCATCCCAAGTCACTGCTCTATTGAGATTTTTAGATTCTTCCTGATTGAGTTTTGGAAGTTTGTTATTTTTCTAGGAATATGTCCATTTCCTCCAGGTTGTTCAGTTTGTTGGAATAAAGTTGTTCGTAGTATTTTGTAACAATCCTTTGTATTTCGGCGGGATCTGTTATTTCACCTCTTTCATTTCTGATTTTGTTTATTTCGGTCCTCTCTCTTTGTTTCTTGGTTAGCCTGGCTAGAGGTTCATCTATCTTGTTTATTCTTTCAAAGAACCAGCTCTTGGTTTTGTTGATCTTATGTATTGTTTCTTTGGTCCCTATGTTGTTTATCTTCGCTCTGATTTTTGTTATTTCCTTCCTTCTGCTTACACTGGGCTCTTCTTGTTGCTCTTTTTCTAACTCTTTGAGTTGTAGAGTTAGATCATTTGTTACCATTTTTTCTAATTTTTTGCAATAGGCTTGTAGGGATATGAACTTCCCTCTCAAAACTGCTTTTACTGTGTCCCATAGATTTTGGATAATTTTGTTTTCATTGTCATTTGTTTCCAGGATGTTTTTAATTTCTTCCTTGATTTCTTTGGTAACCCAGTCCTTGTTTAATAGCATGCTGTTTAGTCTCCATGTGTTTGATTTCTTTGGATTTTTTTCATTGTAGTTAATTTCCAGTTTTATGTCACTATGATCTGAGAAGATGCTTGATATGATTTCTATCTTCTTGAATTTGAAGAGACTTTGCTTATGTCCCAAAATGTGGTCTATCTTTGAGAATGTCCCATGTGCGCTTGAGAAGAATGTATATTCTGTGGCTTTGGGGTGGAATGTTCTGAAGATGTCGATTAATTCCATCTGGTCTAGCGAGTCATTTAGGATTGATATTTCTTTGCTGATTTTTTGTTTAGATGATTCGTCAAAGGGTGACAGTGGGGTATTAAAATCTCCTACTATGATTGTATTGCTATTAATCTCTCCCTTAATGTCCTCCAGCAGTTTTTTTTATATATTGGGGTGCTCCCGTATTGGGTGCATATATATTTATCAGGGTTATTTCTTCTTGTTGGATTGCTCCCTTTAGTATTATGAAGTGGCCTTCATTATCTCTTGTTATGTCCTTCACTCTGAGATCTAATTTGTCAGATATAAGTATTGCTACCCCAGCTTTTTTTTCATTTCCATTCGCCTGGAAAACCTTTTTCCATCCCTTCACCCTCAGTCTGTGTGCATCTTTTTTTCTGAGGTGGGTTTCTTGTAGACAACAGATATATGGGTCTTGTTTTCTTATCCAATCTGACACCCTATGTCTTTTGATTGGAGCATTTAGTCCATTTACATTTAAAGTTATTGATGGATACTTATTTGACGCCATTTTTATTCTATACCCCTGTGTTCCTTCTTTGCTTTCTATTTCTTTAATTTTACAGTAGACCATTTAGCATTTCTTGCATTGCTGGTTTGGTGGAGATAAATTCCCTTAGTCTGTTTTTGTCTGTGAAGCTCCTGATTTCACCTTCACTTTTGATTGATAGCCTTGCTGGGTACAGTATTCTTGGATTCAGACCCTTCCTTTGCATGACTTTGTATATTTCATCCCATTCCCTTCTGGCCTGATAAGTTTCTGTGGAGAAATCAGTTGCTAGTCTGATGGGGATTCCTTTATATGTAACTTTCTGTCTCTCTCTGGCTGCTTTTAAAATTCTTTTTTTGTCATTGGTGTTTGCCAGCTTAATTATAATGTGCCTAGAGGTCGGTTTTCTGGGGTTCATTTTGCTTGGGACTCTGCGAGCATCTTGGATTTGTGTGGGTTTTTTCTTCTCTATCTCAGGAAAGTTTTCTGTCATTATTTCTTAAAATACGTTTTCCATGTCTTCCTCAATTCCCTTTCCTTCTGGAACCCCCATTATTCTAATATTGTTTTGTTTTGTATTGTCCCAAAGTTCCCTTAGACTTTCTTCCTGTTTTTTAATTTTTTTTCCCCAGAAGTTGTTCTAATTGGGTATTTTTTTCCATCTTGTCTTCTAGCTCCCTGATGCGGTCCTCTGCTTCTTCTATTCTACTCTTGATGCTTTCTATTGAGTTCTTTACAGTAGCAGTGTCATTTTTCATTTCTTCTTGGTTTTTCTTCATTTCCTCTTGGTTCTTACTCATATTGTCAAATTTGTTTTCCATTCTTTTTAGCCATCTTATGATCAGTACTCTGAATTCTCCTTTGTATTTTTGAACTATCAAAAAATTACTTTTTTTTGTCTGGGGACAAAAAAAATATTAATGTTCCTTCTTTGTATTCCTGTTTTTTCCTGGCTCTGAAGTTTACTTTGCCTAACATTAATATAACCCTCCAATTTTCTCTTTTATTGAGGTGTTATCTATAATAATAAAAGCATAATATGCTAATTAGACAGGAGGTTCTTCCAGACGAACTGGAACTGTGAGGGAAGCCCGGGTTCCGGGTGCCAGAGGGAAGCTGGTGCCAGCAGCTGGGGGAAGGAAGGCCGCCTCTTGAACGAATTTCATGCATTGGGCCTCTAGTTAGCATATAACAACATATTAATTTCAGGTATACAACATAATGGTTTGATATTTATATATATTGCAAAATGACCACTGTAGTAAATGTAGTTAATTTCTGTCACCATACATAGTTACAGATTTTTTTAAAGACTTATTCTCTTAGCAACTTTCAAATATGCAATATGGTATTAACTATAGTCACTGTACATTATGTCCTCATTACTTATTTTGTAACTGGAAGCTTGCACCAAAATGGGTGGAGAGGGTCAAAAGATACATACTTTCAACCTTTTTTTATTAGTTCGCATGATATAATTTTTTTTCTTTAAATACTTTTACCTATGTTATTATCGTATATAGAAGTGAGTTTTTTATTAACAGTATATTTGGATCATTTTGGGGGCCATTCTGACAATCTGTCTTTTAATTGTATTTACACCATTTCTATTTAGTTATTAAGTATTTTTAAAAAATGATTTCAGAGAGGACGAGAGAGGGGGAGAGAGACACATCATTGATGAGAAAAGAATCATTGATAGGCTGCCTCCTGCACACTCTTTACTGGGAATGGAGCCTGCAACCTATCTTTGTGCTATGGAAATCGAACCATGACTTCCTGGTTCATGATTTGAGGCTCAACCACTGAGGCCAAACATAAAAATAACATTATTATTTAAAAATTTTTTTATTGATTTCAGAGAGGAAGAGAGAGAAACATCAATGATGAGAAACTTTGATTGGCTTCCTTCTGCACGGCCCTCACTGGGGATCGAGCCCGAAACTCGGGCATGTGCCCTTGACCAGAATAAAACCCGGAACCCTTCAGTCCACAGGCTGATGTTCTATCCATTGAGCCAAACTGGCTAGGGCATAATTATTTTTTAAATCCTCACTTGAGGACATGTTAATTGATTTTGTTGCTGTTGTTAGATTGGGGGCGGGCAGGGGGTTGGTGGGAAGAGAGAAAGAAACATTGATTTGAGTGAGTGACATCGATCTGTTGCTCCCATCCTTGTCTGGACTGGGGTAGTGATGGTATGTTGCAGGTTCAAACCTGGTCCTTTCGTTGTATGAGATGATGCTCCAACCAACTGAGCCACACCAGACTATTTGATTATTTATATACCTAAAGGCCTGATGCACGGAATTTGTGCAAGAGTAAACCTTTCTTCCCATGGCTGCCGGCACTGGCTTCCCTCTGGCACCTGGGACCCGAGCTTCCCTCCAACCCTGGCTTCATCTGAAAGGACTTCTGGTCTAATTAGCATATTAACCTTTTGTTATTATAGATTACTAATATACTTGAATGTAGGCCTATCATTTTATTGTCTTGTTTGTACCTTTTTTCATTTCTGTTTCTGCTTCCTTGCCCTTTTTGGGTTATTTGAACACTTTAGAGTTCCAGTTTAAAATCTGTTGCATTTTTAAGTATATATTTTGTATAGTACATTTTACTATAGAGGTTACAATAGACATACTTAACTTTTCTCAGAGTACTTAGAGCTAATATTTTACCACTTTTTGTGCAATATAGAAATATCATACTGGCCAGGGCTGAGTTTATTCTTGTGTATGGTGTAAGTTGATGGTCCAGTTTCATTTTTTTTGCATGTATCTGTCCAATTTTCCTAATACTAATTTATTGAAGAGACTTTCTTAACTCCATTGTATGTTCTTGCCTCCTTTGTCAAATATTAATTGAGTGTAATGGCTTAGGTCGATTTCTGGGGTCTCTTTTCTGTTCCATTGTTCTTATGCCTGTTCTTCTGCCAATACCTGGCTGTTTTGATTACAGGGGCTTTATAGTATAACTTTATATCTGATATTGTTATACCTCCAAGTAAGTTTTTCTTTCTCAAGATTGCTGAGGATATTTGGGGTCTTTTTTTTTTTTTGGTTCCCAATAAGTTTGGAGTATTTGTTTTAGATCTGTGAATATGCTGTTGCCTTATTTATCTTTTTATTTCCAGCAGCTAGCCATTGTCTGACATGCAGATAATCAGTATACATTCTTGACTGGATTGTACATAATTCAGTATCATGGTACCCAGATATTCTGATATATTATATAAACGCTATTGTGTACCGGGACTTGGCTAATTATTATTATTATTAGAGGCCTGGTGCACGGGATTCGTGCACTAGTGGGGGGCGTGGGCTGCAGGAATTGGCCCAGTCTGGGAGTGCCGCCCATCCTGTTCAGCTGAGCAGTTATGAACTGCTCCTGCTGCAGTAGCAGCTCTTCATCCCGGTGATTTGAGTGGCACTCCCACTGTAGGAGTGCATTGACCACCAGGGTCAGCTCCCATGTTGAGCATCTGCCCCCTGGTGGTCAGTGTGGGTCATAGTGACTGGTTGATCAATTGTTCTGGTCGTTCCGCCATTCAATTGCTGGGCTTTTATTATATAGGACTTCAAAACATTTTTATTGATTTTAAAGTGGAAGGGGTGGGGGGAGGAGGGGAGATAGATAGATAGAGAAACAGAGAAACATCCATGATGAGAGAGAATCATTGATCGGCTACCTCCTCCATGTCTCATACTGGGGATTGAGCTGGCAACCTGGGCATGTGCCCTGACCGAGAATCGAACCGTGACCTCCTGGTTCATAGGTTGACACTCAACCACTGAGCCATGCTGGCTGGACAGTTAATTACTAAATATAGCACAAAAACTTTGGGAGGCAAAAAAAAAAAAAAAATGCTTCTGGAGACAGTTTCACAAAAGGAAAATACACCTGTTGTTTTCTGTTAGTAGTATGCACAAGCAGACAATTACTGTCCTGGTGTACTTCTTTATATCGGGTTTGGTTTGTCTACTGTTCATGTGCTTTAGTTTAGATATTACATATTTTGAGATTCAAGTTCAGAGTTAGTTGAGAGAAATAAGAATTGTGCTGGTTAGGTATAACCTAAAGTCTTGGGGGTGGAGAGGAGAGTGGTTTTGTTGATTGTAACTCTACTGTTCAGTTAAAGTCGTGGTCAAATTTTATAGAACAGCTTTTCCCCCCTTGGACATTTTATTTTACCCTTTTGTTTATTTCTTTGCATGCGAGTAAATGTTAATGCTGTTCCTGTGATCTGAGACACTTGTTTTTCCCTAAAAGGCTGATAATTTGAATAATTAGAGGAAGGTTATATTTTAAAATTTTAATTAAACTTATTGGGGTGACATGGGTTAATAGCATTATATAATTTTCCAGTGTACAACTCTAAATTATATTATCTATATATTGAATTGTGTGCTCACCATCCAAAGTGTAGTCTCCTTCTGTCACCTTTACCCTCTTCAACCTCTCTGCATCCCCCTGGTAACCACTATACTGTTGTCTGTGAGTTTGTTTTGTATGTTTGTTGTTTTCTATCCCACATATGAGTGAAATCATATATATTTTTTGTTTTTTTTTCATCTGACTTATTTCACTGAGCATGATACTCTCAGAATCCATCCATGGCAGTATGTCATCCTTTTTAGGCTGAATTAGAAGTCCAGTGCACGAAACTTGTACAGTTGTGGGGGAGGTTCACAAAAGCCTCTCTGACACCAAGGTCTGTAGATTTAATACCTATGTTTTTTTCTAGGGATTTTATTGTTTTAGGTCTTATATTTAAGTCTTTAACCCCTTTTGAGTGTGGTGTCAAATAGCTTTGGTGTCTACTTTCCTTCTTCTGCATGTGGCTTTCCAGTTTTTCCAAAATCATTTATTGAAGAGGCTTTCCTTTCTCCATTGTATGTTTTTGGCTCATTTGTTGAAAATTGGTTGCCCTTATAGATGAGGCTAATTTCTGGACTCCCAGTTATTTTTTATTGGTGTGTGTCTGTTTTTGCTGCCAGTATCAAATTGTTTTGATTATTGTAACTTTGTAGTATAATTTGAAGCCAGGAAGTGTGTTAACTGGCATTGTTCTTTTTTCTCAGGATTGCTTTGACTATTTGAGCTCTTTTGTGGTTCCATACAAATTTAATGATTTTTTTTTTCTATTTCTTTGAAAAATGCCTTGGGGATGGCATTAAATCTGTATATTGCATTAAGTAATAATAGCCATTTTAACTATGTTGATTCTTCCAATCCATAAACAAGGAATGTCTTTCCGTTTCTTTGGGTCTTTATCAGTTTCTTCAACAATGTCTTGTATTTTTCAATGTATAGATCCTTTTCTTCCTATGTTAAGTTTCTTTATTTTATCCTTTTGTTGCAATTGCAAATGGAATTATTTCTTTCATTTCTTTTTCTGATATTTCATTGTTAGCACATAGGAACACAGGGGATTTTTTTTATACATTGATTTTTGTATCCTGCAGTTTTGTTTGTTTATTTGTTGTTTCTGGTAGTCTTGGTGTTTTATATATTGTATCATGCCATCTTCAAAAAGTGACAATTTTACTTATTTATTCCAGTTTGAATGCTTTTTATTTTTTCCTGTTGCCCTATTGCTCTGACTAGGACTTCTTTACTGTGTTGAACAACAGTGGTGAGAGTATCCTTTTCTTGTTCTTGATCTTAGAGGCAAAGCTTTCAGGTTTTTTTTTTTTTTAATATATTTTTTTATTGATTTTGTACAGAGAGGAAGGGAAGAGAGATAGAGAGCTAGAAACATCGATGAGAGAGAGTCATCGATCAGCTGCCTCTTGCACACCCCCTACCGGGGTTATGCCTGCAACCAAGGTACATGCCCTTGACCGGAATAGAACCCGGGACCTCTCAGTCCCCAAGCCAACACTCTATCCATTGAGCCAAACCGGTTTCGGCCAAAGCTTTCCGTTTTAAGGTGAGATTTTTGGGAGAATTAGGAGGCCTTCCTGCTTGTCTTTTTATCACCCCTGTCCTATATCAGTACATAGGTACTCATTTCATCCATCAGCAAGTTCTTTCAGCTCTGCTTTCAAAATAGCCTTAAGTCTGATCCCTTCTTCCACCACTGCTGCTAACTACCCATCTAAGCTGCTTCCATCTGTTGTCGGAATATAGTAATATCCTCTCCTTTGTCATCTGTTTCTGTTAATACACTCTCCCAATCAGTTCTCCACACAACAGCCAAAAAGATCTTTGAAAAATGTGAATCAGATCGTGTCATTTGCCTGTATTAGAAAACCACTCCAGTTTATAGTGTCAAATAATCTACCCTCTAACTGGTGTTAGTTTCTGAACTAATTTTAACTTGGAAATAGTCATTGTGTTTCTTATTTTTTTCCAGGAGGAATAGCACACAGTATGCTGGGCTCTGGATTTAAAGCTGAGCGTTTACGAGTCAATTTGAGATTAGTCATAAACCGCCTTAAACTACTGGAGAAAAAAAAAAGTGAGTAATGCATGATTGCCTTATATTTTTCTTTTCCAAAATACATCACTGGGTTCTAGCATCCCAATATTGGCTCTTTCAGGCTAAGTACTGTGAACTTTTAGGGATCCTGTATTCTTTAAGTTTAGGTACATCTGGTTAGATTGAATCTCTTCGTTGCTATGGAATAGATAACATGGCTCCTGAAATTTCTGGGTACACAAACAATATTCTCACCTGGACAAAGTAGCAAATTCTAGACTAGATTTGCTAAGGGAGTGAGCTAGGACATAGTATTGTAGAAACAGCCACTTGTCTCTGGTGGGGTGGAGGTCTGCCTGCAGGCCAAGGCCCAGTGCACTACTGCTGTGTGACTGGAGTGGGATTTGTGCCTTAGCGGAACTGGCCCAGAAAGCAAGGAAAGAGATTGCGGACTATCTGGCTGCTGGGAAAGATGAACGAGCTCGGATCCGAGTGGAGCACATTATACGGGAAGACTACCTTGTGGAAGCCATGGAGATCCTGGAGTTGTATTGTGACCTTCTGTTGGCCCGGTTTGGCCTCATTCAGTCTATGAAGTAAGCTCTTTGGTTTTTTCCCCCCTTTATTGATGTATAATTGATATAGAAAAACTGCGCATAGTTAATATACATATAGTTTGATTAATTCAAACACATGCATATATCTATATACAAATACCACATCAAGGCAATAAACATCACCTTCAAAAGTTTCCTTGTATTCCCCCATCCCTCCCTTTCTTTTTTTTGTAAGAACACAGCATGAGCTGTACCCTCTTAACAAAATTAAAAATATATATATTTTATTGATTTTTTTTTTTTTATAGAGAGGAAGGGAGAGAAAGAGGTACAAGAGCTAGAAATATCGACCAGCTGTCTTCTGCACACCCCCCACCGGGGATATGCCCGCAACCAAGGCACATGCCCTTGACCAGAATCGAGCCCAGGACCCTCTATCCACTGAGCCAAACCGGTTTTGGCTCTTAACAAAATTTTTAAGCACAATACAATATTGTTAATTATAGGCACAGTTGTTTAACATATTTCTAGAACTTATTCATCTTATATAACCTTAATGAATAAGATATTCTGATCAAAGACCTAAATATAATCACCTCAGGAATTTGAGGAGAGGTAATATTGGTTTTCTTACTTAGGGGTGAGCACTAAGGGACTGTTTCACATACCCAAAGCCTTTTTCCTATTATTGAAGCCTGATCTCAACATAGAGACAATTGTTGAAATGGCTGAACCATTTCCTGACTTGGTGATCTTGGGTGCATCATTTAGTTTTCCCAGAAAATGGCTAGAAGTTCAGAGTTATTGAAAAGTTAAATAGCTTTAGAGGCTATATCACTATATTTCATACAGATGTTAGGGTGGTTGGTTGGTTTTAAAGAATGTTAAATTTTATTAATTTTTTCCTTAATTAGAGAGCTAGATTCTGGTCTGGCTGAATCTGTGTCTACACTTATCTGGGCTGCTCCTCGACTACAGTCCGAAGTGGCTGAGTTGAAAATAGTGAGTACAACCAGTTTCGGTGATGACTGTAGTTTTTCACATTATTAGAAAAATTGGTTAACATAAGCCATTTCTGTTCATTTGACCAAGTATTTTGTACCCTTCTCATGCTGCCTTTGACGTGGACTTTATAAATGTGCTTCTTCCTTTTTAGGCCTTATATCATAGAAGAGTGTTTTGCAAACTTGAATAATTTTTTTTAAGGAACAAAGTTTCATGAACCCTCAGTTTTATCTTAAATTATTTTTATTTTTATGTTAATTTCAAAAAGGCCTTTCAAAGTGAGAGACAATAAGCATTTATTTGAGATAAATAAGAATAGCTATTGGGGATTCACTGATTCAGGCAGAATCCATATAGTGTTTCAATTAAGAGACAAAGGCAGTAGATATAAATGAGAAGGGGAAGGGGAACACTAGAAGTAAGGCATTTCTATTGGTGCAGATAACAGTGCTGTTAATTCTAAATAATGTTTTTAATTTTCATTTCAGTAGTCCATAATAACACCTTTCTTGTTATCTTGGCAAGCAGTTCTTTGGGACACACTGTTGCCCAGGCCCAGCCCAAAGGTTATTTTGCCCGGTTTAACGTTGCACAGGTTTGAGGCAACACGTGCAAAGCAGTTTCCCTAGCGTGGGAGCTCTGGTTCCATTTTAAAGTGGTGCCATTTTTTATTTTTTGACAAATGTTTAAGTATATACAAAAAGAAAAGTTCTTATGCAACTGTAAACCAGTAAAGTTAAAACAACGTTTATTTTAGGTGTTTTGCTTCATTCATTTCACAAATATTTGTTGAGCCGATGTTATGTGCTAAGTGGGCACTGAGGGTATAATGGTGAGCAAAATAGGATATGGGCCCTGCACTTGTTTGAGTCTAGCGACGAGACAGACATTAACTAAAAAACTGCCTGCCACAACATGGATATGGTACTGGCTCAATTGAAAACAGTTCAATTATTTTCTCCCTATTTTCTTTCTACATCTTTGTGTACTTGTTTTATTTTCTCTAAGATTGTCTCAGTCTTATCTACCAACCCATCTTTTGATTTTATTTTATTTATTTTTATTTTAAAAATATATTGTTTTTTAACAGAGAGAAATGGAGGGATAGAGAGTTAGAAACTGTCAAGAACTAGTTTTCTTTCCTTGGGTTGGTCATTTTCCTTAGAGAGGAATCCTACACCTGGAAGGTATAAGCTGGCTGTCAGCATTTCTGAGAGCCCAGGAGAGAAGGAAGCCAAATGTCTCATTCTTCTCTAATAGAAAACTTAATTCTTCTGTGGTCAGTAAATGGCTCTGCTCCCTGCTCTGCTTGGAGTCCAGAGTCCCTTTAGTTTAACCTCCCCAGAGAGTAAACTTGTATTCTGATATGTTAGGGAAAATAGTCATACAGGTTTTTTTTAAAATTTCACTTATTGGGTGATATTGGTTAATAAAATATATAGGTTTCAGATATACAATTGTATAATATACCGTCTGATATCTTGTAATTGTATGTTTATCATCCCAAATCACGTCATCTATCATTATTTATCTCCCCTACCCCCCCTTTACCTTCCTCTATCTCCTCTCTTCTGCCCCTCTCCCCGCTTCCCTCTGGCAATCACCATTCTGTTGTCTGTGTCCATGAGTCTTTTTTTTCTTTTTTCTTTTACATTTTTTATTAAATTATTATTTGTGCGCATATTTTAACATTGCCCCCTCCCCCTCCCATACATACCCTTCCTCTCCAGAGTTTTGTGTCCATTTGTTGTACTTATATGCATGTATACAAGTCCTTCGGTTGATTTATTATCTCCCATCTTTTTTTTTTTTTTTACTGAAGTCCTTCCCCTTCTCACCCAACCTCCAGCTCCCTCCGACAGCTGTCAGTGACAACTGCTGCTTACAGTTTTAACCTCATTTTTAGCCTCTCCTATACTTCTCCTTTATGTTAAGACTAGAGGCCTGCTGCACGAGATTTGTGCAAGAGCAGGCCTTCCTTCCCCCGCTGCCAGCACTGGCTTCCCTCTGGCCCCCTGGACCCAGGCTTCCCTCCGGCCCTGGCCTCGTCCAGAATGATGTCCAGTCTAATTACCATATTACCCTTTTACTATTATAGATTAATTCCAAATGAAACAAAGATTTACATTTCTTTAAAAGAATGAAACCATAAAAACTTAAGAAAACTAGGTAGATTAATAATCTCATAACTAAATTTGCCACAAAACTCAAAAGCCATAAACAAAGAGTGATAAATTAAGCAAATATTTAAAAATTCTACATTAATATAAAGCAAAACAAAAATCAAAAGACAAATGACAAGTACAACTGAGAAGTATCATGTACCCTTGAAAGTCTACATATTGGACAGGGCGTGCCCCCTCCGTGAGCTCTCAGGTGTTGGACCACTCTGGTCCAATGCCACTGTCATCTCCTGCTTGAACTATGCAGTAACTTCTTGAATGTTCTTCCTATATCTGCTTTGGTTTTCTGTACTCTGTTCCCCATTACATCAGAACAACTGAGGGTTCTTTTAAAAACACTAATCTGATCTGTCACTGCACCTTAATTTAAAGCCCTTTGGTATCTTTCTGTTGTGCTTGTGATAGAAACAAAACTTCTTATATGGCCTACATGGCCCGGCCCCCACTGGCTTTTCTCCGTTCCCACCACATTCCTCCCTCAGGCTCTGCACTAGACTTCCTCTGGCTTGAGGATTGATTGGCCCTGTTTTTCCACCAGAGGCCTTTGCACATGTTTTCTTTTTCTGTAATACCCTTCCTTCCCTCGTTTAGTTAAGTGTCTTCTGGAAGTCTTATCTTTTTATTAAAATTAAATTTATTAAGACAACATTGATTAGTAACATTATGAGCTTCAAATGTACAATTCTATAATTCATCACCTGTATATTGTATTGTGTGCCCTCCACCCAGTTACCTTTTTTTATTTTTATTTATTTTAAAAAATATATTTTAGCCGAAACTGATTTGGCTCAGTGGATAGAGCATCAGCCTGTGGACTGAAAGGTCCCAGGTTCGATTCCGGTTAAGGGCATATATCTTGGTTACAGGCACATTCCCAGTGGGGGGTGTGCAGGAGGCAGCTGATGACTCTCTCTCATCGATGTTTCTAACTTTCTATTCCTCTGTAAAAAAAAATAAAATATATATTTAAAAAAACATATATATATTTTGTTGATTTTTTACAGAGAAGAAGAGAAAGAGATAGCTAGAAACATCGATGAGAGAAACATTGACCAGCTGCCTCTTGCACACCCCCTACTGGGGATGTGCCCGCAACCAAGGTAACCGGAATTGAACCTGGGACCTTTCAGTCCGCAGACCGATGCTCTATCCACTGAGCCAAACCGGTTTCGGCCAGTTCCCCCCCTCCCCCTTTTTTTTTTTTTTAAATATCAGGTCCTGTTCTATTATCATAGTACAGCAAACTTCCCCTTGGTAGCACTTTTCACAGCTGCATTTGTACCTTTACCTGTGTGATTCTGACTAATGACTTCCCTGAGGACTGTAAGATTCTCTAAGAGTAGGAACAGTGTCTGGTGTTGTTCATCATTATTTATAGTGTATATCATAATGCTTATTCTAGAGTTCCGCATATAGTTTGCAGCTCATTGGATAGATACATAAACAATAAGTTAATTAGTATGTACCCCTTAAGGTTTTACAGACCCCCGTTTTTTTGATGTCCTGTAATAGAAGCCTGTTTACTGTTGATAGGAGAAAGCTTGAAGCAATCTATAGGAATAGTTTCCACTTTTATTTACTGTTCTTTTTTCTTGGTAGGTTGCTGATCAGCTGTGTGCCAAGTATAGTAAGGAATATGGCAAGTTATGTAGGACCAACCAGATTGGAACTGTGAATGACAGGGTAAGGAACAGACTTGTTAAACATGAAGCAGTGGGCAAGGTGGGGGCAGGTTAATTTATTGCCTGCAGTGATCCAGTGGTTACCACTAGATGGTAGAGTTAATCTAGGTTCCACATTTCATAGAGTGGGAGGAAGGCTTTCTGGTTGGCAGTGCAGTCCACTCCTCCTTACCTTGGCCCTACATCTCTTGACTCGTGAGGCTGTTCTGTGTCATATCTTATTTGCCCCTGTTCTTCGTGCCCTTTATGATTTGCGGGGGTAGAAATGAAGTTGGGAGAAGGGTGGAAGAATTCAAATGTGGAAAGCAGCAGTATCAGTCTTTTACCAACACCTGGGTCTTATATAACCAGAGAACGTGAGAGAGACTTGGGTCTTGTAATATAATTTGTCACTGGAAAAAAATAATTTAACTGGTCTGAACCCCCCCCCCCCTTTTTTTGCCTCAGTTTACCTATAAAATGAGAGGAACAAAATGTAAAAGTGAGACAGGTTAGACTTGGCTTGTTGGTGTAGATGCATCTTAACCCTGGTCTTTAATTACAGCTAATGCACAAACTGAGTGTGGAAGCGCCGCCCAAAATCCTGGTGGAGCGATACCTTATTGAAATCGCCAAGAACTACAATGTGCCCTATGAGCCTGACTCTGTGGTCATGGTGAGTTTAGAGCCTTTCAGAATACTCAGAAAAGTGAGTCTCTAGATAGCACTTTCTTTAACTGTATTCCTTACCCTGCAGTTGTGTGTGAAGGTTTAAACCTTTGCCCAGTTAGTGCCTTTTTGGGTAAAAATTGTGCCTCCATATCTCAGATGGACCAGATGAAATGAATACTGAAAACACTTTGAAAAGGTACAAACCTCGATGCTTATTAGATTCCTGTGATATGCCAGACAACGCACAGAAAGCTGTTAATACAGAGGCATAACAACGAGGTCTCTGTCCTAAAGAGACTTCCAGTGTAAGAAGGGAAAATATGCCAATACTTACCATCCAGCACTTAAGGTCAATGAAATTTAGCAGATGGCTTTGGTATGCTGCTTAGACAACACCCACCCCAAATTTTCAGAACAGATGTAATCCCCCAGCTCTTGAGAGTATTGGTCACTGGTGTTTCACACAAAGCTGTGTCTCTAAGCAGTGACCACAGAAGAGAGCTTCCTTACCCAGTCTTTCCAGGGGCCAGTATTCTGTAACAGGTGCAGGGATTTAAAGACACTTCCCTTCGCCTTGGCTGGTCTGCTCAGTGGATAGAGCATCCATCTGGTCATGAGTTTGATTCTGGTCAGGTGCACATATCTTAGTTGCAGGCTCAATATCTGGCCCCAGTTAGGACGCATGCGGGAGACAACTAATCGATGTCTCTCCCCCTTCTTACTCTTTAAAAATCAATGGGAAAATGCCTTCAGGTGAAGATTAACAAAAAATTAAAATAAAGGCACTTCCTCTTTGACACAGTTGGGGTCATCTGCTGTAGGGTCACCCCACCTTGCTCCAGAGATCCCTGGCAAATTGGCTGAAGCCTTTGATTGCATAATAGCCCACCTTCTTTCTTTACCCATCCTTGCTTCCTTCACTTTCCCACAGGTCATTATCACAAGAGCTCGCCCTAGTAACTTCCTTCATGCTAATCTCCATCTCAGAGTCTGCTTCCTGGGAACCTGGCCTGCGATGGGGGTGATGATATGAATTTCTCTTTTTCTCAGGCAGAAGCTCCCCCTGGAGTAGAGACAGATCTTATTGATGTTGGATTCACAGATGATGTGAAGAAAGGGGGCCCTGGAAGAGGAGGAGGTGGGGGCGGGTTCACAGCCCCCGTTGGTGGACCTGATGGAACAGTGCCAATGCCCATGCCCATGCCCATGCCATCTCCAAGTACTCCTTTCTCATACCCACTTCCAAAGGGACCAGTAAGTATACATATAATAAATGTGATGTAAGCTCAGAAAATGACAGGTTGGCTCTTGAATATACTCGGGAGTTGTAGATTATCAAGAGGATTTAGCAGTAAGAACAAATACTAACAATGGTCACATTGTGTAAAAAATATTGGGATTTAGAGAAAGCTTTTTGGTTCAGCTAGAAGTAATGCAGTAGAAAAATCTGGAGAGAGGGTGCTAGAAAAACTCATCTTAATGGAGTTTTTTATTTTTTTAAACATTTGGGACCTGTTGCCTACAGATTAGTTTTTTGTTGTTTCTGCTCTTTCCCTCTTCCTCTAAAATCAACATCAATGATGAGAGGGAATCATTGATTAGCTGCCTCCTGCATGAGCCCAACCGTGGCATGTGCCCCTGGCCAGAGTTGAACCTGGGACCCTTCATTCCGCAGGTCCATGGTCTATCCACTGAGCCAAACCGGCTAGGGCCAGGTTAGTAGCTTAAAAAGAATACAATCATTTATTACCAAATAGAAAAACCTCTTTTGTAGACAAGATGAAGCTCATTATTGTAAAGTCTAATAATTTTCCCTAAGCAATGGATTTAGTAATTTGCAGAATAGCCTTTGGCTACAGATCTTTAAAAATCTGGAATCTGCCGAAACCGGTTTGGCTCAGTGGATAGTGTGTTGGACTGAGGTCCGGGTTCGATTCCGGTCAAGGGCATGTGTCTTGCTTGTGGGCACATCACCATTGGGGGTTGTGCAGGAGGCAGTTGATCGATGATTCTCATTGATATTTCTGACTCGATCTTCTTTACAGAGAGGAAGAGAGAGGGATAAATAAAATATATTAAAAAAAAAAATCTGGAATCCTTTTGATGTGATATTTTGTTTTTCTTTTGGGGTTCTTGAGTTTAATCCTATTTAATGTCATTGATCGTTCTGTGACTTTAAGTGAAACGATGTATTATGAAACCCAATTTTACCATAGGCTAATTGATAGAAACAAGAGTTATTTTCCTATGGCATTCAACATAATGACATTATTTGAGGACCTTCTGTGTGTATATATGTATCAGAGAAAATTGCTAGTTGGGGGCAGTGTCTCTGATGTTGTCTTTCTCCTCTTGCAGTCGGATTTCAATGGATTGCCAATGGGGGCTTTTCAGGCCTTTCCCAATGTTCATCCACCTCAGATACCAGTTCCCCCATCATATGAATCTGTAAGTGCCTGAGCCTCTTTTATAAGCAGCAGGAGAGTGAATCCAATGAAGAGAAAGCAAAGTAATGGCCAAAGGGAAGGAAAAGTTTTGATCAACTCTAGTACCAGCCTTGTTCTTGCTTTGGGTTGTGTTGCTTTACGTTATCCTGGGAATGGGGTGTGGTGGCAATGCTTTGTCTGCAATTCAGCCAGGATCAGGAGGGAGGAGCTGCAGATCTTAGAAAGTTCTAGTAGGGCGCTTAGCGTCTTTTTTTTGACTTACTGGAGCTGGTACAGTCTTGGTGCTAGAATATAATAAACTACCAGCTTTATAAATTCTCAGTACTTTGTAAAGCAGTAGTGACCAGATTTTTGTCTGACATACAAGTGTCCTGTAGCATTAGTTTTACATTTTAGTTCTGTGGTTAAAACTTGCTGTAATTGGCTATTTGATACTTTGAACTCTGTAGGTGGTTATAGCAGCTTTGGTTTAGAATTAAAACTTGTTTTCTGCCATCCTTATTTGTTCAGCCAGTATGTGCCTTTAAAAAAAAAAAAAAAAAGAGGAGGGAGAGAGACACACACATCAACTGGTTGCCTCTCGCACATGTCCAACTGGGGTCAGGGATCGAACCTGTAGCAGGTATGTGCCCTTTTCCGGGAATCAAACCCACGACCCAATGCTCTTAACTACGGAGCAAAACTGGCCAAAGCTGTTATGTGCCATTTGAAAGCCGTTTCCATTTGATGCATAACTGAGAAAACAAATTGGTATGGCGTTTGCTGTGGAAATGATTCAGCTAGGGAGATTCTCCTGTTCCTGAGCTTGCTTAGTATTCTTTCCTTTGGTTATATTAACTTGGGCTTGAGTTTTTCTTATGTTTTGGTCTTGCATGCATTGAAGCATTGCCCACAGCTGTTTCAAAGAATGAGGTAAATGATGATCAGTATTTGAAAACTTGGTTCTTGGAGATGAAGTCAGTGGTTTAGTGCTTTCTCTGCCTGGAAGGTGAAGGTATCAGATTAAAGAGGTGTTAACATTATGGTTAGATTTTCCTTTTTCTTCATTTGGTTTTCAACATGTTATCTATATCACCTGGTATCTATCTGAAGATCAGGAAGGAGTGGAGGGGCAGGTTCTGATGCTTTCCCTGAGCAGCTTAGCTTTGGACAGCACAGTGGCTTGTATTTGTATCCATACTTTCAGTGATGCCATTGCTTTCTTTGGTAACAATGTTTGTGTTTCAGGCCGATGACAGTAATGCTGATAAGAATGTCTCTTCTGCACAGATTGTTGGTGAGTGTGAGTTAGAAACCCTCAATGCTGAGCCCTGTGCTGTTTTCTCATACATGGAATTCAACCCACATGCCCTGGCCTCCCTCCTAATGCAGTATAGCAAAAACAAAACTCAGGATTTCCCTCTTCCTGGCCCCAAAGAATCTCACAGGTTTCCTGTTCCTTTTTCACACATTTTTATTTTTCAACTTCTTTATGTTCCTGCTGATTCAGCTTCCATTGTGCCTGGAAATTAAAAGGAGGGGTGAATAGGCACAAATTATAAGCAAATAGCTCAGTGACTTTATTCAAAACCACTACCAGCACCCTAGAAAACCACAGGGAGTATATATTTTTTTAAATTAGAGAGTTGTATTTTACATAATTTCTATAGACAAAATTATATAATTATTGATGAGTTTTGATATTACATGTGTGTCTATACACACATAATATGTAACCACTACCTACCTCAGCAAAGTTACACATTTCTAGGCTGGTTCCCTTTTGTTCCTTTTCAGTCAACTCCACCCCAAAGGCAAGAACTGTTCTTATTTTCTAAAACTATAGTTTATGTTTGCCTGTTCTGGACTTATATAAATAGAAATAAAAATCACCCCCTTCTCTATTTACTGTATATTTAACTTATAAAATGAAGTCTAGAAATACAGATCAGATCCCATTCCATCAAATAGGATTGACATTAACATTTCTTATAAAAAATTTCCTAATAAGCCGTAAAGAATAACTTCCAACAGAATTCTGGTACCAGTCCAGACTTTGGCCTTTGTGAGAGGGGACAGTGTGTTGAAATGAATGCTCTGTGAATTTACCTTTAGAAAGAAATCATTTAGAAAGAAAATACTGTATTTGTTTTGTTTTTTTCCTGCCAAAGAGGACTATGGCTCTGAGCCACCTTTCTGGCATTTGTAACACTGCTCCTTGCCCTAATTTAATTAGGTCCCGGACCCAAGCCAGAAGCCTCTGCAAAGCCCCCTTCAAAAGCCGTGGACACCTATGACAACTTTGTCCTTCCAGAGTTGCCGTCCGTGCCAGATACACTACCAACTGCATCTGCTGGTGCCAACACCTCAGCATCTGAGGACATTGACTTTGATGATCTTTCCCGGAGATTTGAAGAGTTGAAAAAGAAAACATAGGTCTCCTGCTCCAGGCACCATCCAAGCCCTGGGAGTTGAGACTGAGAAGTTTCTCCTTGTAACAAAGAATCTCCATGAAATTCTGTTTCATCTCTTAACCATCACCGAGCACACTCCTCCTAGGGGCTCTCTCCCTGCTCTACAAATTGTGGTGCTTTCCAGTTCCTTACTGCTCCTAAGAGATGAACGACTGGAGACACTGTGAGCCCGGAGCAGCTGACTCCTGGAAGCTGTGCTTGTCTGTTTTCTGTCTGTGATCCCAGGCTCTCCTCGCCTGTCCCACCATCCCCCTACAGCGGGGAGAGCTGACACAGATGGCTGGGCTGTGGAAGAGAGGACGTATGAAGCGTCTCAGCCTGTGCTGCTGAGGTTCTAGACTTAGTACAGGTGGATTTGTGGTGAGTGAGAATCAAGGCTAAGGTGTCTATTTTCTCATTCTGTTATGAATGGGAGAGAAAAAAATGACTCAGGAAGCCACTATAACAGTTCTTGGAAGCTAAGTCCTCTCATTGCTGCAGGGCAGTGCTCCACCTGGATGCAGCTGCAAAGGTTTTTGGAAAGCTGAAGGCCTCTCAGTTCTACTGGATTTCCAGGGAGCCCTCAGGCCTTTTGGCTTTGAGGGCTGTTTCCCTTCTATCAGTAATACAGTCCAGTGTTGCCCTCTGACAAAGGGCAGAAGTCACCATTCAAGGCTAAGGTGGGCTTCCAGTTGCCTTACTAGAAGTATTCAAGTCTCTTGAATAGTGAGCTGAAAAGTCTACAGGAGAAGAGGGGTTCCTGTTTTCATTTGAAAACTTTAAGAGAACCTTTAAAAACTAGCCTCATACATTTTGGTGCCCATGTGGCTGTAGGTGTTTGCTGCTTTCCTTGATGGATAATACTCTTACTGTTGTAACTAACATGCTTCTTTGCCCTTAGCTAAGGCATCCTTTCCCACAGGGATGGCATTGGGATCAGATGCTAAGGCTTTGGCTTCTGTGTAGTATATCTGTATATACCTGTCTTAAGCAACCTTTCTTTAATGTTTTTGATTGGTTTGTATCTAATACCTTGGTAGCTGATAATAAAGTTAAAAATTCTGACCTGCTTTCTCCACTGGTTGGGTTGATTAGGGAGCTGCAAAGTTGAATATTGTAAGCAAGTGACCCATTCTTGGCACAAGCCAGCCCTTACCTTGGCTCCCAGGGTAATGTGAATGCCTGTAGCAGTAAGGAACCTGTTTAAGGCCAGATAGCATCTGTGAGTTTGCTTGGTTACTCCGCTGGGACTCTGCAGAGGCTTCCTGGACCTAATTAAATCAGGGCAAGGAGGACAGTGTTAGAAATGCTCTCCGCAGGCAGACGGCATGCTTGTGTCTTTATTTTTAATAAGCTGCAGTGAGCTCACATCTGACTTTCCCACCGCCGTCTGGGAACACTACTTGTGTTCTGTTACTCGTTGGGCAGCAGCAGAGCCAGTTAAATGAGCCACTCATTCTTGCAGTGTAAAGCCTTTCCCAACAGTGCCAATATCATATAAACACAAGGACTTTCAGCGAAGGGGATTTTGATTTCCGTACTGACAAAATTTAACAAAATGTATTGTAAACATCTAATTTTCTAAGCTATGCCATGCAAAAGTAAGTACTCACTAGGGGGTAACAGGGTTAAGATAGTTCATCTTTTAACACTTCAGTGTCAGTGCCCACGACTGTCACAGCTGTTTACTCACGTGTGTTCTGGTGCACTGGATTCCTAACAAACCCGAGAGCTTCTGCAGCAGCATATCCATCAGCGTAGCTTCTTTCCAAGTCTATTAGAGGACAAAGGGGGAAAAGCAAGTATATTGAAGGAAAAAAGTATCAAAGGTGGAAGTAACATTCATAAAGATACTGTTTCCTTTAATGATTTGCTGGTAGGCATTAGAGTGCTTCTGCTGCTTAGTAGTTGAGGGTCAGCTACTTAGAGGACAGTGACTAAAACTGGGTTTCCTAGGAAAATAGTTAGCAGAGCTGTGGAGGCTAATAAAGGGGATTTGCTGATATTGTGCACTTCGACCATCTGTAATCTTGAGCAGCTACAGTTGAGCTTTTCCAGCGGTGTAAAATGGTATGGCTTATACAGGTATTCGCCACGTTACACCACTTCACGTTTAGGGAAGATGTATGTTAGTATCTATTTTCACTAACCAAAAATATCGGAAGAGGACTTGCTTTTATGAAAAAAGCGAAACGGGAAGTGTTTGCAGTGAGCTATTACAGAAGTAGTGCACACTGAACTGTTATTTTTTTCTTTATATAAGCTGTATATTATATCGGCTTTTACCATATGTTAGTGCTGTTTTAGGCTTGATGTATTACTTGGTAGGCTACTTTTGGGGGACTGGGAAAGTTTAAAATTTTTTCCCATTTAAATTAATGGTAATTGCTTTTAGACTTTATGCCAGTTTGGCTTCTGAGAGTTTTTACATGAACGTGCTCTACTTTTGGATAATAGGGAAAACCTGTATATAAAATTACCAGCCCGAAGACTGACTTACCTTAAGGGACTTTCTTTCTTTACCAAAGGACATTAGAATGGCAGAAACAAAAAGGTTAATGATCACGAGTAGCATCAAGATGACACTGGTGAGGATCAGAAAGGATCCCAGGACTGGGTCTAAAGCAATAATCTGGAAAGACAATAAAACACTTTTAATTTAAACATTGACAGTTTGAATTCTACTTTATGTGCTAACATTTGGGATTTATTCACATAAGAAAACACTGGTTGAAACTAGGGAGCAAAGCAAAACTACTTAAAAGGAGAATACTTTTGAGCAAGAACGACTGACACTCAAGGTTGTAAAAACAGTTGTCTCTTCAGGGCTTTTCAAGAAGAAAGCAGGTAAGTTGCAAAATTAAAATGATTGTAAGTCCATGTGAGTTCTAACAATTCCAGAAAATACAGGGGTGGGCAAAAGTAGGTTTATACTTCATATAATCATTGATAATAAATTTCTATGTATTTACAACTGTAAACCTACAAATCAAATGATGTTGATTTTCCAGTACTGATAAATGTTTTGCCTTGGTATTGGTTCCTTCATTATAGGCAATGTTTAGAAAAAGACCAATGACTTAGGGGATGAATGCTTACACTAAATATGATGGAAATTTATGTCAAAACATTTCCTAGTACCAGCCTGTCATCCACTTAATTGGGTAATTATATCAAGTTTGGGCTATCTGAGTTTTTGATATAAGACTTTTCCCAATAAGTATAATTTCATTTGCACCTTCACATTATATAATATGATTAGAGCAGAAAAATGTCAAAAAGTATTAGCAAAAGTTTATTAATTCTGATTGTTCTTTAAGACCTTTAATATAGAAAGTGTTCCAGAGCTGTGGACTAGTGATTGGGGCTCGGACTATAATAAAATAGTCCTCCCAAAACAGTTATCTTAGGGAGATGACAACTTTCTACGTTAGAAACTATGTTAAGTTGTCCATTTTAGTTAGTAACCTTTGAAATCTAGATTATCAGAATGATAAGTCTTGAAAATTTTGTGAGTTTCACTAATTTGAATTGCAGTTTTCCCTTCCCTAATCAAATCTAATATATGCTTGTGCTTTGGACCCAAATTCTTATCTGGGTTTCCTTTTATTTATTTTTTATTTTATTTTATTGATTTTGTACAGAGAGGAAGGGAGAGAGATAGAGAGGAACATCGATGAGAGAGTCATTGATCAGCTGCCTCTTGCACACCCCCTACTGAGGATATGCCTGCAATCAAGGTACATGCCCTTGACCGGAATCGAACCTGGGACCTTTCAGTCCCCAAGCCCACCCTCTCCATTGAGCCAAACCAGTTTCGGCCCTACTTAACTTTTTTATGCTGAATGGAAGGGTTCTATTGGTATTTCCTGGGGAGGAATAATAGGCTCTCTGAAATGATTATTTGTTAACTGTAAACAGAATGTCACAGCTCTTCTGGAATTGTACCGCCCTAATTTTTAAAGTCTTTTCCATAGTATAAAGGGCCACTGAAAAGGCAGCAGCAACCACATGTTAATCTGACCAGGTCCGAGAGCACAAGCTCACTCCCTGTGTCCTGGCAGTAAGATTAAGTAGTGAGATGTGGGACTATGTGGTTAGGAAAGGGCAGATTTCTGAAACAATATACACCCAATACACACCCAAATATACACCCAAAAGCTTGTATACATCAGTGGTACCATAAACCAGAATGGCAGAGGATCTCTCTTTCTCCCTTTTCCAATGTGCATTGGTATAGCAGGGCTGCATTTACAGACAGTATCCCTTTGTTAGATACAGGATAAGGCAACAATAGGTTTACAGTTGTTTGAGAAATAATAGTTTCCTGTACTCAACTGTAAACCTACTTTTGCCCAACCTTGCATATAATAGAGGTCTGTAGGGAAAATAGGATTTAAATTTTTTTTTACCTCCTTATAATGAGAGATTCCTGTCAGGAGACCAACAAAAGTCACTGCTGAGCTGAAAAAAGTTCGGTAGTCAGACATGCTCCAGCCAAACAGCAGGTTAAACTGAAAAGAAGAAAGATGGGTCAGGTGGAGAGCAGTGGAGGCCACTGCAGTTATTTGTCTCGGGGCGCTTGATAACGATGAGGTCAACATAGAATGAATGGAATAGGAAATTCTTTAGTGGCCATTTCAGTTACTATGCCTAAAAAAATGCATAAAATTCCTTTTAATTACATAGTATTTTCATATAAATTTGACCTTCATTCCTGTGAGCTAAATTTTATCCCCATTTTAGAGATGAGACAAATGTGTGAATTTAAGTCCTACTACTGTTAAGTATGGAACTACAACCAAAACCAATTCTTACTCCAATTCTTTTCTCCAAAACTCAGGGCCAACTTGAACTGATGGTTTTCCATATAGTGATTTTTTCTAAGGGAAGCAAAGTGACTCCAAGACCCCAGCACCCAGGAAAGACACTAGGGGGGGCTCACAGCCATGGCGTAGCCGGTCAGCAGGATCACAATGACCAGCAGGAAGCCCACCACCTCGTCCCAGGCTTTGGTGAGCGTTCTTCCGATGACCTGCAGCCGGGGGCTGTGATGCAGCAGCATCCACAGCTGAACGGTTGCCAGCAGAACCAAGAAGCCCATGAGGTGAATGACAGCCGAGTTCACCTTTACTGCCTCGTAGAAGTTGATGAACCTGCAGCAGGAAGGCTGACAGTTACTCAGTATGGACCGCACGCCCTCACCATTCCTGTGCTGCCAGGGTCCCCAGCGTTCCCACTGCCGGAGTGCAGCAGTTGTGCGAGTCCTGTTGGGTGAAGTGCTTGGTGTACGAGTGCTGCCGTCTAGGTTGGGCTCCTGTGTCTGTGCCTCAGAGCAGAAGAAACGTGTTTGGTTGGGAGTTGTGAAGAAAACTTGAAATTTTGACCTGTAGCTGATTCTTTACTCCAAGTTCATCCTGGAAGTCAAGGCCAGCCGCTTCTGTTGCTCTGCCTTGAGTTAAATCTCTCATGTCAAAAGGAGATGAGTTGCCCTGGCTGGTTTGGCTCAGTGGATAGAGTGTCAGCCTGCAGACTCAAGGGTCCCGGGCTCGATTCTGGTCAAGGGCATGTACCTTGGTTGCGGGCACATCCCCAGTGGGGAGTGTGAGTGAGGCAGCGATAGATGTTTCTAGCTCTCTCCCTCTCTGTGGAAAACCAATAAAGTATGTATATTTTAAAAAGTGCATTGAGGACTCCTAGCACACACTTAAAAAAAAAATGAGTTAACATAATGATGTGTGCCATTAGGCTGGTCTGTTTTCTGTCATGCGGTAATCCTATATGCCCTCTGCCAGCAGATAATGGATCCTCTAATAGGTTTACTAGTGCGGAGAGGAGAAAGATGATTCAACTAGAGGTGAGGGGTGTTTGTAACCAATTAGAAGTTGGTTTTTTATTTTTAAGTTTTATTATTTGAGAGACGACATTCATAATTTTGTTGCAGCATCTAGACCTCCATAGATATATGAGGTTGGCATTCAATCACAATTCTTTTGTCCAAAAACTAGGCAATGCCACACAACAGGCTAGACCTTAGCTGCCAGCATCATTCAAACTGCACAGACCACCGTCCCTGCATAACAGCCCTCTGTGAGGCCTTCCTGGGACAGTGCCTCAGGCTTATATCAGTGGCCCAGGCTGTGAGCCATGAAGGGTTAGACAGGTTAATGAGGGACACATGCTCTTCCCCATGAGAAAGACCAGAGGAGCCCAAGGGGCACCAGAATGGATGGACGTCCCTACCCAGAAAGCAGTGCTTTGGATTTAAAGTGTGTACTCCCTGCTGTGGTTTTACTTAGAAGATGACCATTTGTCTGTCTTGTCTTAGGGTTTATTCCTTGGTCAGGGTGCAAAATAATGACCCAAGTGGTAAATAGGAGGACACACCCAGGCCCCTGTGCTGTGAAAGGCAGAAGACTTGATTAGCAGTGTAAGCTGCTAGTTCACTGTCTTCTCTGCCGTGGACATCGGTCTGGGATTTGTGTTTAACCGGTGTTACACAAAAATGCCAAAGCAGTGGAGGAGGAGAGCGCGTTTGAAAGAACCCTGTGTGAGTCAGGGCCCTCTGGACACCGAGGAGGGATGTTTGCTGCTTCTCAGGCCCCTCTTACCTGTCACGGTCAGAGTGGTATTGTGCCATGTTCTTCTTATGCAGAGAAATAAGCTTGATGTCAAGCATCAAGATGGCAAAGCTGGTAAGGATTATGCTCATGTCCAGAATGTTTCTTTTCCTCGTTAGGAACCTCCATCTCTGCTGTTTCAGCCGGCGACCCTAAACAGACGGCACAGTCACTGCTGCTTTCCTGAAGGGCTCGCTGCGTCTCTCCCTACTGAAATGGCATGAACACGGGCAAAGTGCGCTCAGCTGGGGCTTCGATCTGGCCTGGGCACAGTGGGTTAGAGCCTCAGCTCAGAGCTGCTGCTTACCAAAACTTGGCTTTCTCCAATACAGCTTTCACTGCGTACATTTTTCTCATTGCTTAAACTTAATTAAAAAAAGTTTCTGAATTAGTTATCAAGCCTGAAAATAAAACACTGTGTTTGGCTTAAAATATGTTACCTTTTGCGTCCAGCATCTGTATTTTGAGTACTTGCTCTGTTCATCATGCTTTCAGTCTTGCTGTTGCTTTATAGGATTAATAACACTGCACACAAAAATAATTCTCCTAGCCAAAACTGGTTTGGCTCAGTGGATAGAGCATCGGTCTGCGGACTGAAGGATCCCAGGTTCGATTCCGGTCAAGGGCATGTACATTAGTTGTGGGCACATCCCCAGTAGGGTGTGCAGGAGGCAGCTGGTCGATGTTTCTCTCTCACCGATGTTTCTAGCTATCTATCCCTCTCCCTTCCTCTCCGTAAAAAAATCAATAAAATATATTTTAAAAAATAATCTTTATATAGACCTAATTCTTTAACTCTTGAAAACTGAAAGAGCTACTTTGTGGAAAACTAGTCAGTCTTTAACTGAAGTCAAGTTTCTGGAAAAGACCAATAATAGCTCATGGTGGAGCTCCCCAAATAATACCCAAATAAAGCTTGAGAATATTAGATCGAACATTTTCAACTCACCTGTATGAAGCCGTAGTAACAGACTAGCAGGTAATAGATGACTTGTGAAGCAACAGACCAGGCAAAGTCCTTCTTTGATGTCTGAAGGGAGGTTAAAGTGTCCAGTCTCACGGAGCCGAAGAAGGCACCTGAGAACGACATCGAGTCCAGAGTCTTTAGAACTTCTCTTCAAACTCTGTCTTTGAAATAACCCCAACCGTCCCTCTATTATTAGTTTCAAATGTCTTTGAGTTTTTAAGCTCAGTATTTCCCTAGAGGTGTCACATATATTAAATGAAGTTGTGTGCAAAGCTATTGGACTAAAATGTGCTTATTGCATTAAAAGTTAGTAGAGGGGAGAGGATTATACCGTTGATTCCCCCTAGAGGGCAGTGTCAATGATTGATTAGCTGTTACAGGTGTGTTACCCTTATGAGAACAGCTGCAAGGATGTTCAGACGTAATGTTGCAACGTGGTGCTTTGCAGAGAACTGATCACTGCAATGTCAAATGGGGACAGCAATCAATCAAATGTAAGTGTGGTGCTTTTGTTTAAAGCCACTTAAAATATATTTTCAGAAAGTACTATGATTAAAATGCTTTGAACCATCTCAAATTTTCTATGTTTAAAGCATTAATATTATCCCATGTATTAATACTAGGATGTTTGTATGAAGATAGACTTAAAAAGCTTCAGATCCCAGCTAGAAAGACAGTGATTTTGTTGCAGTTTCAAAAACGTATGAAAGATCTTGTGAATATAACTTTTCAAAAAGCCCCAAAATATTAGATCTAAGATATGCTCCTAAGTGGAAAGTGCCATTGTAAGAACAAATTCCTACTTCACTTGGCTCTCAAGACGGGGGAGGAAGTAAGGCTAGGGAAGTGGCGTACTCTGTGTGGGTCTGGGAAGAAGAAATTCCTGATTAGACGTAAACCCTGGTGGTAAATAGAAGGACACTTGTGGGCAAATTCTGGGGGAGGAGGAGGAGGAGGAAACAAAGGATTAGGACAGACCGTCTGTTTAAGGTAGGGGAATTCAATGTGCCAGTTTCCCTCTAGCCCCTTAACAAAATGCCTCCACAATGACAGTGAAGGGATGAAAAATGACAAAGATAAAAAAGGGGGCAAATGAGAGGAACACACTGTTTGAAGCTGGAAAATGGACAAAGGACACTGACGGCAGATTCAAGAAAGCTGAAACCTAAGCAGTGCAGGAAACCCAGAAGCCAGCCCGTTCTTACCACAAACCCTAGAAAGGCTGGGGAATGGGAGGCAGCAGGCACCTCTGGAGGTAGAGGGTCAATTGGAACTGAAAGTGGGATTGCAAAAATGAACTTAAGCCATTAGATCCGATTCTCTCTGACACAACCAGCTATCCACCCATCCTGCCTTCCACTACCCCAAGACTGAAGGTTTATTATAGTGACGTTGGACTACAGAGAAATTGGAACTCAGAGATAGCAGGTACATCTGCAAGTCTACTGGAAAAGGGACTTGAGAGAAAATTTACATACTGCATGGTGAGATCCCTACCTCCCTTCCCTCCACTTCTTTAACAGGCTTATCTTCAAGACGGGCATTGGAAGGGTCCCTCCTGAAAACTGACTGCCCAAGAGAAAAGACAGGTGCCAGGTGACAAGCTCTATCCATGCTCACAGATCTCCTAATTAGCATTATCAGAATTTTGATTTTTCTTTTTGCTCTTTCAAATATGAAAGAACAGTCAGATACTTAAAACTCTAACATTAAAAACCAGAAATTAAAGCAAATAAAAAAATAAAAAGCTCAGAAATTAGAGAAAATGAAGAAGCTGATAAAAACAAAATGAACCTACAGTATCCTCAGAGAGCTGAGAGGATATTGATTCCATAAACAACAGGGAGACTATGCAAAAGAAATATGAGAACACAATTCTTAGAAATTAAAATATGAAGATGAAAATTTCAAGTGGTTTAGCAATTGAAGTAATCTTTCGGAAATAAGACGGAAAATAGTGAAAACCTAAGAAAATCAGAGGATCAGTCCAGGAGTTCCTACCTCAAAATTATAGAAATGTGAGGAAGATAAAATAGAGGGGAAATTTACAAAGAAATGCAAATAAAACTTATCAGTGCTTAGATGAAAGGACTTACCATGAGGTCAGTCAGATCCTTTCATAACCATGGTGACAAAGAATTCTAAAAACTTGGGAGTGGGACCATCATATTAACAACAGTCTGAGAAGTTAGAAGGTAATGGACTGCACTTTCCAAAAAACAACTGTATCCAGTCAAATAAGCAGCCAAATGTGATGGCAAAAATTTTTTTTGGACATGTAAGGCCTTAAAAAAATGTACTTCTCCTATATCCTTCCAGGAAGTTACTGTAGGATGTGCTCCAGCAAAATGAGAAAGTAAACCAAGAGAGGAAGACATGGGCTCCAGGAGAAAGGAGGTCCAGCAGAGGAGAGAAGAGAAGAGAATCCCCGAGGTGGCAGGCAGGGGAGAGTCAGGACAAGGGCGCTAGAGCAGGCCCAGAGAAGAGCCAGTCCCGCTGTGCCAACAGGATGAGGGGCCTAGAAAAAGGATCACACAGTGATAGCTCAGGTGATACTTTTGCAAAGAATGAGGTTTACTTCTACAAGAGTTTGGTTCATCTCCAATTAATAGAACGCATGCAAAACAAACAAACAAAACGAACTGTAAATTAGGGGGGAAAGTTGTGAAAGAAAAATTGAATTGTAATCCATTACATGGCTCATCTTTGAAAAATATATTATCCCAATAATGGAAATACTCAGTATTTAACCGTAAGTTATATTGGGAAAAAGAGAAAAGAGAGAAGGTATGTATATGTGTGTGCATGTTAGAGATATTTGTGGGTATAAGAAAGTTAAATCCTCATGTCATAAAAAATACATACTATCTAAAACTGGAAGATTCATGAAATAGCTAATAATGTTACTTTTTAAATTCCAAAACAACCAGTTAAAAAAGCTGAAATGAGGTGGGGAATGAGGACAGCTAGTTTTTGCCTTAACTATTTGATTTTTAAAATTACATTATGTATAACAACCTTAATTAAAATAGTGTCTTTTAATGATGTAAGAAACCGGGACTTCTGAGATAGCCAGGTCAGACGGAGGAGAGGAAGAGGCCTTCGTACCCACATTGTTGGATTCCAGAATCAGGGTCACGACGCAGAACAGGTTCACGTTAGCGTTGAAGACCACAAATTCCACAAAGAGGCTTTTGGTGCGATGGTCTAGCCAGCGGCTCTGTTCCAGATGCTGCAGGACTCTGGGAAGACAGGAGGACAGGGCTGCTGCCTGCTCCTCTCAACCCTGCAAGGAGCTCAAGGCCCTGCATTTCCAATATCCCTCAGCCCAGATGAGAAGCTCCGTGTCCCGATCTAGATGACTGGTGCAGTGTTTTATAATCACCAGTGCCCACACTTTCACTAGTGACAATGTGAATCTAAAAGACTATAGTGATGATAAAGCTTTCACAATAGTAGTCACACCAAGGTTAAACATCCAAAAGGATCTAGTTGGCATTTTAAGTGTGAGGTAGAATTTTATATGCTGTCAACTACTTCTATACAAAATGTTAAACGCTACTCTTGACTAATATATATTCTGTTTTGAGAGGTGTAAGGGGTCGAAATGTCATTTGACTGGCATTGTTTTTAATGTCTTGCTATAAATTTAAATGGAGGATAATTTAACTTAAGACATTTCCATACATTATAATGACAAAGACTCAGGATTCATATAAACATTAATCTATCTCTCTCTGGCAGTTGCTTTTGGGCATTTGAATTTTGGATTATTTGTGGTTCTTATGAAACTCAGTGTTTTCTCTTACGTTTGAAGAGTATAGTTTGCCCAAGCTAGACTTATTGAGTTCAGCTGCAGCTAGGATTGAAACTGATAAGCTTCTCCAGATGAGAAAAAGAATGAGGTTTGGCAAACTGGCATGCTAAAACATACATTTCCTTAAAAGCCTGAAATAAAAGTGTCTACAAGTGTCAGTATAGTTGCTGTCAAACTACTCAAATGGGTCCTAATTCCTGCTTGTCCTGAGAAGGGACCGAAGCAGACGTCTTGGTCCTCACGTTTAGGGCTCAGGCTCGCTCACCTGGCGGCGGAACTAGCGTTCCTTCCAAGTCGGACAAACGCCCCCTGGACGGGGCGGCCACCCGGGGCCTCCGGATTCCGATGGTGCCACATGCTGTCCGGGTCGGTGCTGTTCGTTTCAGGGGGGCTCCAGTTAACCCCATAGTTCTCTGTGTCCTCCACATCTCGATGAGATGGCTTCAGAGTGCGAATCTGATGAAGCAGAACGTTGCCCAAAAGAAAGGAGTTCCCATCAGTAATAAATCCTAGGGAGAGAGAACAGGAAGCCATTGTAAAAATTGTCTCGTTATGTTCTTAACAAAAACTGCAGGTTCACCACTATTTTTAAGAACATTTTTGGAGTTTTCAGTTCATGCAACCAGATTAAAAAAAAAAAAAAAAAGTGGCAT